CGTGTGGGCAGGGGTCGCTGGCAGGCTGACTTTTGGAAAACGGGTTCACACCGACTTTTAGAGTGAGGCGGCGCTTGCTCAGTCGTTGGCTAGAAGATGTCACAGCAACGCTCCCCTAGCAGGGAAGGTGCCGTGTGTGTTCACGGTCTCTCCGGTCGTTCTCACCTACGAGTGTGCCACCGACACCCCGGGCACCAACGTAAGGCCCCCTGGGGGCCCCCTAGGGGCACTCAGGTGCACCTGTGGTTTTCAAAGGGGACTCGAGGCCAGTGCAGGCCTCCGGCAGTCTCCTCGGTCCGCACGAGCTCCCGCGGTCCGTCTCAGCAGGGATGGTGGCGAGGACGACGATGATGACGACCACAGAAAACACAGCTGGGCTTCCCGTGCCCCGGGCCCCGCGCCGAGCTCTTCGCCGGCCCCTCTCGCTGACTTGCCGCTCCCGGCCCTTACCTGGTGCGGGAGGTGCCGCTCACCTGCGGGTGAGCAGAGCCCGAGCTTGGGCGGGCGGCCACGCAGCAGGCGAGGAGTGACCGGGGCTCGGGCCCAGGCAGGACGGCTCCCGGTCCTGCCCTGCCCCTCCTCGTGCCCCAGGCGCCTCCACTGGTCACGGAGCAGCAGCCACCGGGAGAGCCAAGTCCTTCCCGGAGCCACCGAGCCGGTGCTCGGCCTCGCTGAGGCCCCCTGGCGGGCGCACAGGGAATCACAGAGATCGCCGCCTTCCGCCGTCTGGCACGGGAGGAGGGAGGCCTGCCTCGCCCCCACGCCGCACCCACCCGCCGTCCGGTTCGGGAGGGTGGACGGCGAGCGGGCACAGGGCCTGTCTACACGGCTGACCTGAGCGTGATGTCACGCAAGGCTCTGCGTGCGCCAGTCGCGTGCAGGGCGAGGAGGCTGAGTCGCACCAACCCTTCCCCTCCCGCAGGCACCAGAACAAGTCATCGTGTTACAATACAGGTGGACGACTCACCCCAGCGCGGAGGGTTTGCCCACCTGAACTTGTTCTTCCTCCGCCCCAAGTGGGAGGGCCCCGGCCCTCCAGTCCTCACCGTCCCCCGGGGCACTTGAAGGCTTCGGGCTGCTGGACCCGCCCCAGCGCCACTGGCCCCAGGTCCGCAGGGGGTGGGCGCGAGAATCCATTGGGCTGTGTTTTAATCCCTGGGTGACCTTGGAGCAGCGGGCACCCGCCCAGGGCTCGGGGTCATTCAGGAAAGGTTTGCATATCGGCTCCGAGGATGCTGGTAATGGGTGCTGGGCACAGGTCTCTGCAAAACAGGTTTGACGGTGACGGCCAAAGTCTGACACCAGGTCACCTGGGCACGGAAGCCCACCGGCAGGGTGTCCCCGGCTGCCTTCCGTGGCCCCCCAGTGTCGCTCAGGCCAGCGGCAGTGATGGGGGTCTCCGGCTTTCTCTTCCACGTGGATCCCACCTGGCGAAGCCAGGAACCAACACGAATAATGTGATGTGGGGGCGGGGGCCCCTGGGTGCTCGAGGTGGTTCCGTTCTGCCAAGGGGGAAGGAGGCCCCCGGAGGTCGGAGGGACAACCAGAGGTGCAAGGACAGGGGAGGGCACTGGCTCGGACCTCGGGGCTCGCTTGTGTCCTGTCTGAGAGCAGCTCCCACAGGCCGGGCGGCGTGAGAGCCGGCTGGGCAGCGGTGGCGGCGAAGGGGCACGCAGGCGAGCAGCACTGGAGTGAAGCCCCCGGCTGGCAGCAGGGCTCGGCGGCAACCGGGGGGCCAGGAGGGGTTTCCTCCCCCAGCCCTCGGCTGCCAGGACTGCTCCACAATGTCACCATGGCCTTCACCCCCTTGTCCTGTGTGTTGTGTGTCACTGCGGGTGGGACACATAAACTGTAGTAGCAAGAGCAGGGGGCCTGAGAGACCTCAGGGCAGGAATTCTCCATCTGCCGCCCTCGGGCCCGGGTGACCTTGGCCAGTCCCAGAGGCCCTCGGGGCTGTGGTTTCTCCTGCCGTTGTCAACGACGAGGCCAGCCCTCCGTTGCCGGGAGAACTCATCTGCGTCCCTGACACAGGCGGCACCCTCCTGACGCGGCGGAAATGTTGCTGCTGTCTCTCCCTCCGTCCTCGCCCCCGCCTCCGCCCGCCTCTGCCCTGCCCCCCGCAAAGTGCCAGCTCGCAACGTGGCAGGCGTCATGGCGCAGTCCGGAGACACGGTTCCGTGTTAGCCCATGCCGAAGCCTCAGTCACCGGATCGACGGGGACACCGGCCACAGGCCAGAAGCTGGGCCCGTGAGCGTCTGAGAGACAGCTCGCCCTGCCGTTCCCTGGGAAGGCGCGTGGACGCTTGGTTTCTGAGGTCTGCGCAGAACTGCCCCATGCTCTGTGGGGCAGCAAAGCCATAACCTTTCGGCGTATCGTGTCTACCACACACACACACACACACACAAATGCCTGGTCACTTCTCTGCGGGGTTGACCTCTGACTTCGGGGCTCGTGGCCACAGTGGCTCTCACGTCGTCCCACGTGACAGGGAGTTCTGGGGCACCTGCGGGTGCTTCTCAGTGTCACACTGGCCGCTTCGATCGAACAGAGCAGCCACCGGTCCCGTGAGACCCCTGCCCCATAAGGGACGTCTCCTCTGTGAATGGGGCAGCTACTCAGCAGAAAGGAACTGGGTTCAGCCCCTCGCCGGCCCCCGCTGGGTCTCGGGGTCCTCCTACTCCAGACGAGGTCAGATTAGTGCCTTCCTGAGTGTCGCTCCTCCCTTCTCTCCGCTGACACGACACCATGCCAGACGCCGAGGACACGAGGGGCACCGACCTGCTCTCGGCCCTGCGTGACTTCACTTTCCACCGGAAACAGCAAAAGCAGAAGTCCTGATGGCTATGCAGCCATTGAATGTTGCAGTCTAGGTGATAAGCAGTCACTCGCCTCGTCACACTTCTTTCCTCAAAGCCCGAACGACTCGTGCATTTCACAAGTGCTCACTTGGCACATGAGGGGGAAGCGATGAAAGCTGGGTTCCGCGTGGAGGGGAAGGACCGAGCTCACCGGATTCCACCCCCTACCCATGCACCGCCCGGCTCCGTGGTCCCCGCCGGGTGGCCGAGGTGGCGGTTGCTAAGTTCGCCCCTCGGGTCCCTTAGCTGCTGCTCCCACCACCTGGAGCACCTGCTGGGAGGTGATGGGTGGGCAGAGTCGGGGTCTCAAAGCACAATGCCAAGATGCTGCGGGCCAGGACCCACAGGGGAGCCCCCTGGGTGGGGCTCCAGGCTCCGCCTGCCCGGATGGGTGCATCTGATTGGCCCTGAGGCGGCTGGGTACCGAGTGAGCATCCTTGAACCTGGCACTTGACCTTCGTACCACTCGGGCCTCATTTGCAAAACAAGTTTGCCCTTTGCCCAGCTGATTTCTCGGGGTCCTTGCGAGGAGCAGCTGAAGTCCTGGAAACCAAAGCGTAAGGAAGAAGGTGCCGTGCGTGAACTTGGAAAGGATGACGGGTATTGCTGGTGATTTCATGTTCTTTGATTTCTTTCACTAATGTATACTTTAAGTCATTTTCAGTAATTTCTTAAAAAATCGCTCTGGGGATGTTTTAAAAGGGTCATTACACGTTAATAAAATGGCTCACACGTTTGCATTAATATCAAAGCGTAGAAGAAAATGTTTAAATACGATAGAGACCGAGGTAGAGGGCTCCCGCTTGGGTTGACATCCCAAATGCATCTCTAGACCGCGGGGTGTTTGCACGGGACCCAGACACGTGCCCGCTCCCTCTCCGCGCGTCACTCGGTGTGACTTCAGGGGAAGGGAGCGCGCGTCTGAGCGGTCCGCCGGGGGCGCGGCGCTGCCCGTGGCGGCCCCTTGGAAACCCCCCCCTCCTCTCCCCCGCGGGAAGGGTCCGGGAGGCCGGAGCCCTCCCGCGGAGCGATATCGGCGAACATTTCTGAGAGCTTCCCGCGCTGCAGGTCCCCACGTATCCGTGTTGTCACTCAACACGGCGTCAGATGCTCATTCCAAGTCTTTTAAAAAATCAGCCCGCCTCCTCCCCAACACCCTCCGCGCATCCGGCGGGTTCCCTCCCTCCTGCGGGAGAAGGCCTTGCAGAGAGGCTCAGGGGTGTTTCCAAAGCACCCGCGTGGGTGGGTGGGACTGGCATGTGAACCCGGGCAACTGGCTCCAGAGCCCACGGTCACCACCTCTGGCTGTGTTCGCAGCACCCGCCGCCCCCTCCCTGTCCCACCCGCTCCCTGTCCTGTCCCTGCCCCTGTCACCTCTGTGACAGCATGTGGAGTTTCCCATGTCCCAGGGGCAAGACTAAAGGATGACAAGGTGTAGAGCAGGGGCGTCACCCTCATTGTCACCGGGGCCACGTCAGCCTCGCGGTGGCCTTCAAAGGGCCGAGTGTAACTTTAGGACCGTGCACATGTAACTGCTCCTTCACTGTTGAGCGAGAGCTCAGCCCTGCCGCCGGGTAGACACCAGGTGCCAGGCCGGATACAACAGGGTGGAGGCCCGACTCAGCCCGCGGGCCGCCCCCCCCACCCGTGCTGGCCCCCTGTGGTGTAGAAAGAAGGAAGTTGAAAAGCAAAGACCTCAGAGTCTCGTGGACTGTCCTACTTACAGGCTTTGAAAATTGACACTTCGAATCCTCGGTGTGAAATAAAACCGAGTGCAGTCCCCTGCTGAAGCCTCTCTCTGCTCTAAGTGTTTAAGCACGTTTATCACCTGGCCCGCACCCCGGGCACCCATTAGGTGACAGGTATTCCGGTCATTCGACACAGCCAGAGAGGCGACCTCACCCTGCAAAACTGAGCCAGCTTCCCGAGGCCTGCGAGCGCGCGCCCCCCGCCGGAGCCGCGGTTCCGGGCGCGCCCAGCCCCGCCCCCCACCCGTGGAGGGCATCTGCGGCGGGGCTTCTGGCCTGGGGGCCCTTCCCTGCCCGGGAGTCTCCCGAGCCCACGGCACCAAGAACCCGCCCTTGGCCCCCCGCCCCCGAGTGCAGACGCCGATTTCAGCCTCTGCGCCCTTTCGCCCCCAGGTCTACAGGGTGGACGAGAAGGCAGCCGAGCTAGCGCGGTGGGAGGAGTCCTCCAAAGAGACCATCAAGCAAACCACCAAGCCCTGCCCGCGCTGCCGGGTGCCCGTGGAGAAAAACGGTGAGTCGGGGCCGCGCCCCGCGAGGCTCTGCCGAGCTCTTGTCCGAGGGCGTCGGCCGCGTGTGGCCGTGGCGGCCGGGTGTGCTAGGAGGGTCTCGTGGCTGGGGGGCCCCCGCTCAGGGACTTTGGCGGCATCTGCTCAGCGTGCGTCTCAGCGCCCCGCCCCCCTTGAGGATTCTTGTCCTCCTAAGCGGCAACTGCTCACGTGTCTAACTGCCCCCATTATTACTTAGTATTAATAGTGTTAGACAAGTTGCGTCTGATAAGCTGTCCGCTGCTCTAACCAAACCAAAACCAAGCAAACAGAAAGGACACTAAGGGCACTGCCCAGGCCACCATTTCCCAAAGTGTGCCCCCCCCCACCAACCCACCCCAGCATCCTGGCGCCTGGAGACACGCAGGGGTGAGTGAGGGGCGTCACCCGGTCGAGTGAACGTGGCGGTCGGCTTCTGCCGTGTCTCCCTGCTGGGCAGCAACGCCAGAGACAGCTAACGTGCGCTGAGCACTCGCCGTGTGCGTGCGCCGAGTTCTTCCCAGCTGCGTGCGTGTCTGTCGGCCGTGCGACCCGGAATCGCTCTGGGAAGCGACCCCCTCCCACCCCCCACAGTGCACTCCAGCAGACGAGAGATTTCAGAGTTCCTGTTGTAAGGAAGTCTGTGTAGTTTTGTTAACCAGTTAGTTTCCTTTTTTTTTTTTTTTTTTTTTACCCATGACAGCGCCTCACACCCCTCTGAACCCTGGAGCACCCTCGGGGCCGCGGTCTCTCCTTCCCGGCCGTGGGTGCTGTGGGTGCCCGGCAGCACCCCGCCCCTCGGCTCCTTCTCGAAGAGGCCCTGTACGCCCGTGTGTTTCTGAACAGGGCCTGTCTTTGCTTTTGCCTTCCACCCGCCGTCTCAGCTGTCAGAATGCGAGTGGCAGGCGCAGGTACTGCTGGGTGCAGCGGCCCCGACGGTAGTCAGAGTCGCCCAAGAGCAGGATCCTGGGCTTCGGACGCCGTGTCCATCTGGCTGGCAGAGCACCGTCGCCAGCGATGCCCTGACTGGGAGGCGGTGTCTCATATGACAGCCGGGGCCCCTCCCGTTCACATGCAATCACATCTCCCCCTTCTCAATGCAGCGGGGAGGCCACCATGGCTGTGGGAGACTCGGAAGAGCCCTCAGAGGGGAGGACCCCCTCCCAGCCCCAACAGGCATGTGACCCTGTCCTAGGCTGAAGGTCGTGTCGAGAGAGTGACTCGGCCCCGTGGTGGTGCGTCCAGGCCTGTGGCCGTGGACTTTGCTCTGTCCGCACAGCCCCCACCCGCTCTGGCATCCACGCTGTGTGGTCCTGCGGTCTGGTGGCCGGCGTGCGCGGCCCTCCCCGGCTCTGCGGTGTGACGTGAAGCCCAAGTCTAGTGGGCACTCAGCGCATCCTGTGGGCAGCCCCCCTCAGAGGCCCCGTGCCTGGCAGGCCCTGGTGGGCTGCCCGCCGCCACCTACCCCGGACTGGCCAGCCGGCTCAGAGCCGGCAGCTGGGCATCCAAGGTCCCTTCTGGCATGAACCACGTTTTCCGGTGTGAGGCAGAGGCAGCAGCACTGTCACAATATGGGTTGGCCCAAAAGTCCACTTAGTTTTTTCTGTAAAACAGAAGACGCATGTTTTCATTGTCACCACTGGCTTTATTGGTTTGGGTATTCTGAGGATGTCGGCTGTCTCCCGCTATTGGCTCCTCATGGGGAGAGGCCAGGGTGCTGCTAAACATCTTCCGGTGCCTGAGACAGCCCCACAGCAAAGGGTTATTTGGCCACAATGTCAACAGTACCGAGAAACTTCACAAACCACTTCTGACGTGTTCAATCAGTCACGGCACCTTCTCCACACACGGCACACATCTTTTTTTGCATTTCTGTTGCATTTTTACCTTTCATGAAACAATAAAGCATAATATGCTGAAATGTTGCACACTTTCTCCCATCTTCAATATTAAAATGGCTGCACAAAAATTCACCAATCTTGATAAGTATTTTTAAAATATATGCTGACATGACAGCTGTCACAACACCACCTAACAAAATTATTTTGAATGAAGTTAAAGACAGCTCAGCGCCACCGGAACCATCTTACAGAAAAAAACGAATGACCTTTTCGGCCAGCCCAGTGAAAGGAAGCGCCAGGTGCCGCCCGCCCCACGTCCTCCGCGGGCACGGACGGCCCCCCCTTGCAGGCTGCCGGGAGCCGGTGGTGCCCGGTGAGGCCCGGCTGCCCCGTGAGGGGCCCTCGGGGGCCCCTCGCTCAGCCGCGTCCGTTAGACCGTCATCGTCAGCACAAACTCAGGAGTGTGGCGCGTCCCACAGCGGCAGGGACGGGCCGTCCCTCACTCCGGGTCAGCTGTCTCTGGAAAAAAATAGCGATCACCCTCGGGTCACCATTGTCCTTGTCGGGGAGGGCCGCTCCTGGAGTGCGGGGCGGCAGGCACCCGCGGGAGGAGGGGCGGTGGCGAGAGGGGGAGCTCCCCAGCGTCCCCGGCCCAGCGGTGTGGCGTGGGCAGCAGGACCCGAGGGACGCGGAGGCCCCTGGGCGTCCCCTGTCACAGGTGTTTGAGGAATGCAAACTAGGTACGGGGTGGGCAAAAGCAGGTTCACAGTTGTGAGTCCACGGCGCTGTTTACTCTTGTGTTATCGTGTATTGTGTCAACTATTGTATCGTTTCCCATGCCAACAGCTGTGAACCTGCTCTTGCCCCGCCCTGCAGGGAGAGACCGTTTTGTTGGCCCCAAAGGTCAGGAACTTCGTCTGTGCCCTGGGCCCCGGGAGTGAGTGTCTGCCAGAGAACCGTGGGCTGGATGGAAAGGGGCCAGTGACACAGGCAGACACACACACACACACACACACACACACACGGGCACTCTGGTCGCACACGGCGGGCGGAGGCCCGGGAGCTGGGGGTTGAGAGCCGGCTTCCTGCAAGAGCTGGGGGCCGCTGTGTGGGCGACAGCGTGGGCCAGGCCGGGGCTGCAGACCGACTCACAGGCGCAGGGCGCCCCTCGGGGTGGAGTTCCTGGGCCCGGCGAGGCGGGGGCCAGGGCTGAGGGGTGGGCAGGACAGAGGGCCCCGGCTGGGCTCTGAGACACAGGGAGCCATTGCAGGGAAGGACCCATCCGCCTCCGCCCCAGACCGCGCCGGCAGCCCTGGGAGACGGGGGGCGGGGGGGGCGGGGAATGTCCTCCTCCAGTTGTTTCTTTGAAACGTGTGATATGCTGTCGATTGAAAACCCTAGTTTTCCCCCAGAAATCTTTAACCTCTGAACTGGAAAGCTGGAACGTTAAGCTTATTACCGATACTCCAGACTGCTGGGAAGCGTCTCTCCGATCGAACAAAGGCAGGCCCTCCTAGCCAGTGAGCAACTTTCGCTGTCCGGGTCTCAGCCCTATTCCGTGGCCAGTCAGCCCCGGAAAGCAGTGCCCCCTTCAGCAGAGCCGCAGTGACGGTGAAAATCATTTCCCTCTTCAGCCAGGCGAGCCCTCCGCACTTGCCCCCGTTATCCCTTACACTTTCTGGAAGTTTCTTCCTTCTCTTGGGAAAAGAGAGCGTTCAGCTTCTCTGCTCCCCTTTCATTGTTACAGCTGGACTCATAGTGAAATAATAACACTGAGCCAAGCCCGGAGTAACAGGAGGAAAGCCAGTCCAGCCCACGCACACAGGAAAGTCACGGGACGGTGCTGGGGCCACCACACGAGGCTCAGAGAAACAACCCAGCCCCTTACACGTGTCATAGTGTCCGATGCTTTCCGTTCGGGCGCTCTCGACACGTTTCAGACAAAGAAGCGGCCCCCTGTGGGACACGGGCGGGGCAGAGAAAGTCATCGGGCTCCTTCGGCAGCAGCGTGGGCAGGTCTGGGCTCCGGCAGCACATCCGGGAAGGCGGCCAGCTTTGTGGAGTCTCGGGGTCCTCTCACTCTCGTGAGAGGCGGTCCCTCAGCCGTGGAGCGCAGGGAGGGCACCTGTCACGGAGATTCACCCCCTGCATCTCCGGGGACAGAGGGGGGTCCCAGAGCTCCCGCTGCTTCCCACGTGTTGGTAGTTGGGGGTGATCACCACGCCCCGGTGGGACGCCGTGGGGCAGCCTGGTCTGGGCCCGACACGCACAGGGGACATTCCGGGGATCCCATTCTCCGGCCGGCATGGGTTCGCGGCCGGTGGAAGGGGCCTTCGGGTGGTTCGAGAGCGTCTCCTCTCATCCGGTCTCCTGGAGGGTGCGGGCCGGACCGCAGTGCTGGCCCGGCTGCTCGTGGTTTGAGGGCGGGTCAGCAGGCAGAACTCTGTAGAGGGAAGCCGTGTCTTTTTCACTGAAATACCCACAAACGCGGCGAGGTCATCACAGCTTCTTGCGCCCCCTTACTTAGCAGCTGGCGTCCCTGCTGCTTCTGCTAGCACGGCGCCCAGCACAGCGCCCAGCACGTTGCTCTGTGTGTGTTCAGCGCGAGCGGGGAAGGCGGTGAGGCTCACGAACGCGCTTTCTTCCCAGTTCCTTTCTTCCGATTCTACGCCGCCGCCGCCGCCATTCCGGTGTCCGTAATAACATCTTAGGCGTGATGCTAGCAGTCTCCGGCCGTGAAGGTTCTGTACGATAGGAAAACCCTCCCAGTGTTTCATTTAGCGTCACCTCGCTGTTTCACTGGACTGGAACGCATTCCCAGGAATTCTTTACGGCGTTCCAGAGGAACTTGAGTGGCTTACGGCATCGCGTCGTTTTACTTACTAACCACGTCATGCGTGCCCAAGCATTACACACGTGCTGAAAATTGCACGGTCCTGGAACTGTGTAGTCCAAAATGGGGAGTATTGGGAGAAAGGCACCCCAAGGGAGTCTTTCCCTCTATTTTGCACATGATGGTAGTTTTTCCATGGCCTTTCACGCAGACCAAAAGAAGGGTAAAAGTATGGAATTTTAAAGGCTCTTATGTAATCCCAACACTTATTCTAACACAGATGCCTGTAGTCGCATATTTGTAAGTATTTTAAAGGAGTGGAAGTTCCTGTGCCGAGTTTGTAGCAGGAAAACTGAGGCAGCACCGAAGCAGTCACGTGGAACACCGGGCAGGGAAAAGGCCCTAACGAGGTCACCGGTCACAGGGAGGGGTGGGGCTCCCCGATGTTGGGCGGGAGCCGGCCTCCGCCTGGAGCTCCTGGGGAACGGACAGAGCCCCTCCTCCATGGGGAGCTCAGACCCCGCCCTCCTGTCAATCACCCCACGGCACGCCTGCCGTGGGAGCCCCTGCAGGACCAGACGGGGGAGTGGTGAGGACCCCAAACAAGCCCCCACACAAGGCACTCATCTGTCCTGGAGGCCCTGCTGTGGGAGAGCAGGGACGTTGAGGTCCCGAAGATCCCGGAGAAATCTCGGGCTTGGCCCTTGCCCTTGCCCTTGACCTTGAGAAAGGTCTACAACCAAGTTCCACTCCTGTCTCCCGAGGTGCTTTCCAGGAGTAAATGAGATCATCTACGCGCAGCATGCGGCACTGTCGTTAGTTTCTTCCTTCCCTTCTCATCTTAAGTGAAACTTCCTGCGGCACGAAGGAGCCTACTCCCTGCTCAGTGCTGCCCATACTGCTGTCTCGAGTCCTGTTTTACACGTTTTGCTGAGCCAAGCACCAGTGAAGGCACGAGAAAACTCACTCAGAGCGCGTGTTCCCGTGGGCGTGTGTTCTGTATTGCGTGGTTAGGTGTGTTACTGTAAACTCACACGCTCAAACCCGAGCAGATCCTTAAGGAAGGCCTGGGTCCTGCCGCTGAGACAGGACACACTGGTCTCGGAACCTCGCCCCCCAGGAGGAGTCAGTGAGCTCAGAGGCGCACTCGGCCTGCGTCCTTGACGGGCGCGGCGCTTTGTCGCGAGCCCCGCGGCTTCAGAGCCTCCTGCTTCCCGATCTGCTCCCTCGGCCCAGATGCCGCCCCCCCCCGGGGTGTGCGGGGTGGCGCCCCTAGAAAGCCACTTCTGGGAGGACCGTGGGCGTGGGGATGGGCGTGTGCCAACGCTGTGCCTGTGTCCTTTGCCCGCAGGAGGGTGCATGCACATGAAGTGCCCGCAGCCCCAGTGCCGGCTGGACTGGTGCTGGCACTGCGGCTGCGAGTGGAGCCGCACCTGCATGGCCGACCACTGGTTCGACGTGTAGCTGCCGCGGGGCGCGCCGCCATCGGGCCCGGAGCACCGCGGCCTGCCCGCATCGGCGACTCTCCCTCTCTGCACACATGCACACGCGCACACACGGGCTCATGCAACCAGATACACCGCCACACACACATGCACATACATCTACACATGCACGCACACACCACACATGTACCCCCCACGCTCATGCACATGTGCATGCACAAGTGCACACACATAATACATGCACTCATGCACACGCCCACACATGCACATGTGTGTGCCCACATGCGCACGCACGCATATACATTATACTCGCGTGCACAGGAGCGTGTGAGCACACGTGTGTGCACACACACGTGTGCCCACAGGCACCCAGTTCTTTCCGCAATCACAGAAGCAGCCCGGGAGCGGCCTGGCCCCCCTTCAGCGTCCCCGTGGAAACCACCCTGTGGGCACTGACTGTGAGGCCGGCAGGAAGCTGTCTCGGGCCCCAGCAGCACGCGCACCAGAGCACAGGGGAAGCGCCACCCGTCTCTCGGAGGGACTGTCGCCCCTGAGTGCACTCAAGGCAAGCTGCACAAGCACCGCGAGAGGTTTCTCAGGTTTAATTTCCTGCATCTGGCCTCCAGCCCACGCCGGGAAGCAGCCATCGGGGCGGCCCCGGGAAGCCGTCCTGCAGGTCTGTTTCGGTGGGTGATTCTCCACGGTCGGCGGCAGCGGACTCCCAGAATCCTCTCCGCCGCTCCGCGGCCGGTGCTCCGGTCCGCAGTTTCACGGGGCATCGTCTCCCAGGGAATCACCAGCAACAGTCACAGTGCTGTGTCTGTCCCCAGGAATGCTGCCTCTACGTACCCCATCGATGGACCAGCCGCCCTGCATAGATCAGCTTGCCCACGAAGTGGGAAGTCATGGGAGTTCATCTGAATGTTGAGTGTGGCCATTGCCGGGAAGAAATCAAAACAGAATGTACTTTCATTCGACTTATTTGCAACTTTAGACATTGTTTCTCTGAAAATATAACCAAATCTGTAATTTGGTTGGAAACGTTCATTCTGCAGCTCAGAGAATAAGCTAACATTACACGTGGCCTCACTGTAAATTTAATGGACAAGGCTCCTGGGAAGGAGACGTTTTGGCGGTGGTCTCGTCGTGATTCTCAGGGCTAACCAGAGTGCAGGCGGTTAGAACAGACCCTCCAGGAAGGCGCGCCTCCGGGACCACCGACACGAGCTGCGCCCACCCGTCCGCCCCGAGAGTGCCTGCTCTCTCTGCGCAAACCCACACGTGCCCCCGACCCGCAGAGCTCAGGGCCACTCCCAGGAACACCCTTCTCCCCGAGGCAGGGGACCCCACCAGGACATTTCCTTGTGTTAGCATGGACCGGAGCGGAGTGTTGATCACGGTTTCTTTTCCTGCTTTTCTTGTTTTTCTTCCTTTTTTTGAGGCACTCGCAGCACACCAAAAAGACGCGTTTATATGAAATACGGCCGACCCCGCTTTCTGCAGCACAGGCCGCACGTGTGACCGCGTGTGACCACTGCCTTCTCCGGTGGGTGGTGACGTCACTGGGTGCATGTAAGTCCACTCGCACATGGGATCCCTTTGCATTCAGGGGCCTGGGCCTGAGAAAACCAGCAGCAGGTCTCCTCTCCGTGGAAGTGGCACCAGAGACCCTGCCGTGGGAGAGAGGGGGCGACCTCAGGGCATGTCCCCGGGACACCTGCCCTTCTTCCCCCACCCTGGGACAGGAGCGGGACGGGGAGGAGCCCCCACCCCCGGGCTGCCAGCCTCGGTCAGGAAGCCCGCAGGCCGGACAGAGATCATGGAGAGCCGAGGTTTGGGAGTGGGGGACAGGGGGAGGTCCCAGCAGCTGGTGTCCCGGGGACATGCCCTGAGGTTGCCCCCTCTCTCCCACGGCAGGAGAGGTGGTGTCCATGCTCAGTCCGCACCCACTCCGGCCTGACATGCACTCCCGACAATCCCAGTAAGCGGCAGCTCCTTGCCCCGAGGGACCCAGGATTTTACGGCCCCCGTGGCCCGGGATTCCACGGTGCTGCCGCTGCTGCCTCGGCGCGGACAGGCAGGGTGGGGCAGGCAGGGTGGGGCAGGCGTGCCGCGGCGGAGCTCCAGTGTGGTCGACACCCCCAGGCCTCTGCTCCTTTCCTGGCGGTGCTTTCTTTTGGGTTTTTATTTGTTTGTTTTAGCATAGAATACTGATTCTTGAAACTCATTAAAGGGAGAACAGCCACTATAAGTGAGTGTGAGTCACAAACTACTATAAATGAACTTGCCTGGGTGTGAATGGCATCTCAAACGGTGAGCATTGCCAAAGAATAAAAATAAAGGCTTTGCTGAAGAATCTCTATTTTTCTCTGAAATGCGTAAAGAAATACCTGACAGCTAGGCTTAAGGTTGTATTCGAATTGTCAATAAAAGCATCAAGAAACCTTTCGAGTCTGTCTTTGAAGGTATCTTTTTCATAAGCACTGGGGGTGTGGGAGGGAGGCCCGAAAGTCCCCCTTGGGCCCCAAGAGGGCGCCCTGACGAGGTGAACGCCCCTTTCATCTCTACTCTGAGCTCCAGAAGAACCCTGGTTGTTTTTCTTTTTACAATAATGTAGTTTTCAGCCCTCACTGGGGCGGCTCAGTGGATTGAGCATCGGCCTGCAGACCAAAAGGTCGCCAGTTCGATTCCCAGTCAGGGCACAGGCCTGGGTTGCGGGCCAGGTCCCCAGTAGGGGGCGCACAAGAGGCAACCACACATGGATGTTTCCCTCTCGCTCTTTCTCCCTCCCTTCCCCTCTCTCTAAAAATAAGTAAATAAAAATTTAAAAGTAAATAAAATAACGTAGTTTCTCAAGTGCTTTCCACATGGGAAAGCGCTCTAGTGAGCAAACCATTCTTTAAAAATCAAAGCTGTTTCCCTGCCCTATCAGCCAACTTTTCCAGTAAGTGTCTCATCAGAAGACGGCGGTGCACAGACCCTCAGGACGTCGCTGGGACGCCACTTCGGACAAGGTCAGCGACTCGGAGCTGCTCTCCGCGTGGCACTGCCTCTCCTTGGGTGGCCGCGCCTGCTCCTCCCACGGCGCCCGCGCAGGGGTGACCTGGGACCCACCCCCTCTGGAGGGCAGACAGCAGGCCCCGGGGCCCCTCGCGGCCACACTCCGCAGGAACCGCTCTCGGGAAACGCCGAGTTCCCAGGGCCCGCGGGTCTGACACCGGCAGAGCGGAGAGGCGGCAGAAGGGGTGCGTGACCTCGGGCATGACACACCTCCGGCTCCTGGGGATGTCACGAGGACCGGATGAACTGACCCACATGAAGCACTTGAGTGCCTCGTGCGTGGGAACCGCTCAGTGAGAGCCACGGTTATTCATTAGTATGTGAACAGGCCCGTGGAGACCACCAAACAAACTCACAAAAAAACGCAAAGCTAATGCAAACTCACTGCGGACGCCAGGGGTGTGTGTGTAAGTGTGTGAGTGTGCGCTCGGACAGTCAGTGGTCGGGTGGTGCGGGCAGGGGCCTGGCCCGTGGTGGGAGCAGGTGGGCTGGATTCCCGGCTGCACAGTCCCGCAGGTTTCCTCTTCCAGCCAGGTGCCATCTGCGTTTGAAAGGCTTAAAGGGACAAGGCCCAGCTGCTGCGCAGACGAGCTCCAGGGTGTGAACTGAAGGGCCAACGTTGTGAATGGGAGTGAGCAAGCACAGACTCGGGTGTCTGTTCGCAAAGCAGCAGCGACGTGGGGAAAACGGACCTCGTGTGTGGGTGGGGCCGTGTCCCACTCCCACGGGTGCCCCTGCACGGCCACCTCCGATAATACCAGGGAGGGAATCAAGGTCGGCGTTTAAAAAAAAGCCCTGTTTTAAAACAACATCGAGCCCATCCTCGGGTGCCCATCGTGGATAAACTGCCCAACCACGGATATTTAAGACCTTTTCCTACAGTTTAAGTAATCATGAAAAGGAGTATCGCACAGTGAGAACCATTCTGCAACACGAACAGATATGTACAACGTAAGTGAAAAGTTTGCCAAAACTGTATAGGTCCTGGGATTGCAATTATTTTAAAAATCAATTCTAAGAAAAATTGATTAAAGAACATGCACAAAAACGCAGTTTGCCGTAGTGATAAAATTATATATGCATTTTCTACTTGTTTCTACTTCCCATGTTTTTTTGGCCGTGTGAAAAATCACTTCATAACGAAAAACAATTTTTTCTTACATTCCCCATGACGGTTAAGGATGCGCATATCGCCTGTCGCCGAGGAGTGAAGATTTTCTGATCAATAATTTTGATCCTGAGCTTTACTAAAGTGATAACGAAACAAAGTCAAGCCTCCCTGGTGCTTCTTTCAAAGGAGTTTTGCCACATGCGTCTGGCAGGGGGCGGGGAGAAGGAGCTGGACCAGATCCCTGGGGCGGCACGGTTCTGCCCCCCGCCCCAGCAGAACGGGGACCTTCCCGAGTTTCCCCTGAGGACCCCCCGCTCAGCCGCGGTGGGTGGCCCGCCCCCTGCTCCCCCAGGACCCAGGCGCGTTCTGGCCCGTGGGCAGACACCTAAGGAAACAGACGATTAACACGCCAATGTCAGTAGCCACTCTGTCTTGCCGGTAGGACAGCTGAGGTTTGTGTGACCCTGATTCCTCCTTCCAAAGGCCGCTTTCCCAGCGTGCCCCTGGCCCGCGTCAGGACGCTGCGGCGATGCCGCTGCAGCGGATGGGGTGCGTGGGAAGGAGGTGAACAGAAATCCACTCCATGCGACGCCAAGGGCGGCGACGCTTTTTCATGAGACGCAGGAGATACACTGCTCTCTTTTCAAAGTAAATTATTAGGTACATTAAATAAAGCCACTTAAAATTTACTTTAAAAAAGGGTTTGGTGACTGAGGCAGCCTTGGGCAAGCAGGGCCGAGCTCCCCCGCTGCCCGAGGACCCCGCGAGTGTCCGGGCGGCAGGTCCGGGCGTCTGGCTGACTGTGGTGGCTCCCGGGCCGCCCCGGAGCTCTTGCCTCTGCCGCCAGCCAGCCCTCGGGACACTTAAGCCCTGACCCCCCTTAAGCCAAACCAAGCAGGAGGCCGACGTCTTGATGCCCCCAAAGAAGCTGGTCCCACTCAGAAGAGCAGAGGAGGCCCTGACCCTCCCTCGGGACCACCCCGCGGGACTTGGGAGCCCCTGCGTTCTGAGACAGCGCTCCACGTCCGTCAGGATGCCTGAGGCCGGGGGCTGAGCACGGGTTCCCGTCAGGTCCACTCGGGGGAAGAACCGAGAAGCAGTGGACAGGTAGCCCCCAGGGGCAGTGTGTGTGTGGCACGTGGGGGAAAAAATATTAGGGGGTTGGGGGAGGGCCGGGGGAGGGGGAGACATGTGCATCTCCCCTGGTTTTTCAGAGCCGTCCATCCACAGTGCCCGGCACCGAGAACCACGTCCCCAAGGGTGTCGTCTTACCCTCTCTGCGGTGGCTTGCGGTTTCTCGCCGTCAGAGGCACCCGCTGGGATCCCGGGTACGTTCCCACGCCGTCACCTCCTCGGCACGCCTCCCTCTCGGTCCCGGTGTGTCTGCACTGGGAGAGTTTTTCCCCCGAGGTCATGCGCGCAAACTGTCTTCTCACCTGGCGGAAGCCACCTGGTCGCTCAGCGCAATTCCTGTGGGAAGACGTGTGATGGGGTGACCATTTCTGGAGGAGCTCCCGGGGTATTCTGGGAGTGAATTCTGAGCTGCTGGACAGCCGCCCTCGGCGCCCAGGCGGGCGTTCCGTGAGGCAAGTCGGGGGAGTCCGGGGCTCCATGCTCGGCCTCTGGGGGCGGCGGGGGGGCGCTGGGACAGCCACGGGGCCTCCCTGGTCCCTCGGGCAGCTGCCACCCACCGAAAGCACAAGCTCCACTTCTCAGAAGCAGAGAAACCAGGCCCGGGTTCCAGCGTCCCCAGCCACTGGATGGTTTCTCACCCCATCTCGCCGCCGCTCACCGGGGACGCTTCCAGCAGTGGCTCAGGTCCCCTGCACGGGAGAAAGGACCGAGGGTGTGACTCGTGGGATCGAAACTCTGCTGTCCGGGGCTTCCATGTTTCCACGACAAATCACGTTCCGGGAGCAAAATGACGCTGCACGCACAGACTTCACCCACACGACCTTTTCCCTGCGTGGTTTTCCCGACGCCGCCTGGATGGCAGGTTCCGTTGGTCGTCACGCTGCCAGCCTGACCCGCATGGCCCCGTGAGTTGGACGCTGTCCCACAAAGCGAAGGGTCGCCGTTCAACTCCAGGTCAGGGCCCGCAGTCGGGGTGGGTACCAGAGGCAACTGATCGATGTTTCTCTCTCACATCCCTGCTTCTCTCCCTCTCTTTCTCCCCACCCTTCCCCTCTCTCTAAAAATAAAACCTTTTTTTTAAGTGCATCGGATTTTTGCATACTTGGCAAATACCTACGGAATTTAACTTTCTGTCGTCAGTCCCCCTCCTGGAAAGCTGCGTCAGTGTTCCCGGGAAAGGTGGGGAGAAGACCTCGCTGCGTCTCAGGGGGCCACGGGCCCCTTCTCGGACCGGAGTCTAAGCCCGGCCTCCCTGGCCTTTGGGTGGGCAGTCAGGAGATGGTCACCCGGTGGGGTCCCGCCCTTGGTGTTTTTCACGGACACAGACTCAGCCCTGGACACTCAGCTGAGAAACACGAGGAGCAAAGACAGAAACGGCCCACGCCGGCAGGTCCACGCACCCCACTCTCAGACACTGCGTGGCCCCGCCAGACGGGGCGAGCTCGGGTCAGGGGCGGGGATGAGCCACCCGTCCACCGGTCCTGACGCCCGGCCCCCAAGACGGTCATCCTCGGGTGTAATTTTTATACAACGCAGCGTCCAAAACACAAAGCAACTGCACCTGCCGGGGGTCAGCCAGAAAAGCAGACACTGTTTTAGCACTGGAGGAAAAGTGGGTGATACCGGATTTATTAAGAAAGGTAGTGGTCTCCGAAGTAGCCATCGTTTTCAAGGAATTTTAAGGTAGCAGTCACGAAACGTCGCTTTTTGCCGTGTTCTCTGCGTGGGGACTCTCTGGAGCGGGTGTCACCAGCGGTGCCTGGGCTGTCCCCCCACCCCCCAGTTTCCGGGGGACAGCGCCACCTTTGCCGCCCGGGCTCCTGCAGGTGTGTGCACGCCCCCCTCGTCTCGCGTCTGCGAGTCGCGTGTCTGAGCTGTTCCCCCCCCTCTCCCCCCGCCCCCGGCACCCGGGAAGAGCACGGCCGCCCTCCACACGCAGGACGCTTTGTGTTTTCCCCGTGTTTTCCCCGACACCACAGCTGTTCCAACAGCCAGCCCGTGGCCCACGCGGGCTCCTCGCCCCTCCCCTCCCCCCCACCCCGCCGCCCTCCCGCTCTCCGCTCCCTGCCCCGCCCCCCTCGTTCCCTTAGGTCACGTGACGTCGACCCACCGCCGCCTGCCGAGCGCCC